TCTGTGGCAGGGGGGTTGGATCTTGATGATCCTTGAGGTCCCTTCCAACCCAATCCATTCTGTAATTCTGAAATTCTGTGAAATGTAAATTGCCTAAAGCTAAAGGTGTATTACAGACACTGTTATGTTTTATATTCCTGGTGCGAAACCTGTAATTACCCACTGGCAGGTAGCAGCAGAGGGTGAAGGAGGCAATGTGTCAGTGGCTCGTGGGGGGTTCCCTTGAACAAGCTCTGGGCTGTGAGCTGACTTGTGGGGGTTGTGCTGGATAGGTGATATCGCTGTCATCCGTGTATCTGACAGGGCAAACTTCTGCAGCATTAAGCTGTTATGTATTGGGTTTTTTTTGTTTTTGTTTTTTTTCTTCATGTTTCTGTTCCTTCTGGCTGGAGGGAGGTTCCTTCAGAGCAAGGAGAGTTTGGTGCCGGTGTTGAAGCTGCCAAAGTGTCAATGTGCACAGGAGCTGCTGCCAGTGAGATTCAGTTTTGTCTCCTTGTCAAATGAAGGTTAGATCAGACGTGGACCAAGGGAGCATCACCTTTGATGCCTAACCCTAACCCTAATCACAGCAAACATGCCACAAACAGCTGGGCTGCATTAGTCAGGAAGACGTATTCACCCAGCATAGGCAGTGCTGACCCACCAAACATCACTCTGGACTTCAGATGTGTACAGTGAACCATTGTGCCAGAGGCACACCTTGTAATAATGATGACAGAAATGGAAAATTTCTCTTTGGTAAGGAATGCCATCTTCACAACAGTTTCTGTAATTGAATTTGGAGTGATTTGACGCTGCAAATAATTTCTCATGGGAAGATGAATTCTGAAATTTTCCATCTGGGAGAACATTGACACTCATTGACACATATGAGGTTCTCTACTAAAGGGGAAAGCCTGTACTTCTGAGAGCGGGACTTTGAACCACACAGTCGTGGTGGCTCTCCAGGACCCCAGGGAACAACAACCTTCGAGGCGGGGTTTGGTGTCATGCTTCCAGATCCTATCTCTCAATGGTAAGGAACCTGGAAGCCTTGACTGTGCCTATAGCATCCTTTAGGATTTCCCTGTTGAGAATGGAGAGTGCAGACCCCTGGAGAAATTGCTGGACCTTCAGGTTCTTCATCTCAACACGGTAACTGAGAAGGTGGAAGCCCTGACACTTGCATGGAAGAGCAGTTCTGGGGCCTGCATCTTGGGAAGCCTCCAGTGGTTGGCACTTCATCCTCTAGAGGACAGGAAGGCAAGTCACATCTACTCATGATGTCTATTACCTGGAGATCCCCGATGTGTCTGTAGATTGCCCGGCCTTTAGGATCTCCCACAGTGAGCAAGATGCAACTCTTGAAGCAGTGGTTGCAGCTAGCGTTGCTGGCTCTGAAAGAATTCTTTGAGCACCTTTCCTGGGACTAATTGCTTCTGCTTCACGCTGCCGAAGGGTTGTTTATGTAGGATGCTTTGTGGGTGGGATGTGGTTTGTTACTGTTCCATTGTAGGAGCCTTTTCAGGCACTCTGCCCATTTATGATTAATTATGTTTTGAGTTCAGGCTCTGAAGGTGCTTTCAGGCATATGCCAGGTACCAGGAGTGAAAGAGGTGTTGTTATCATCAAGGTACTTCAATGTAGTATCACACGTAATCACAAGTGAATTAGTTAAAGCAGTGTGCAGATATGAGGCCTTGTGAGTGTCCAGGCAACTCGTGTGGTGCAATTTAGGACTCAAGTTTTAGACTTTTGTAACCCTCTCCTCTCCTGGAGCAGTAGGCTCCAGGACTGCTGTCAGCAGACAAACCTGTCCTGGAAGGGCCTCTTAACAGAACAGTTCTGTTCAAACAGGATGAGGAATGGTGTGCATTTGTTGATGTGAGTCCTTGCACCTTTCAGGGTTAATTTAGTTCCTGTGACCTACATGATAGCATCATCTGGGATTTAATAATTATTTGGGTTTCATCTGACTTAGGAGTGAGCAAAACCCCTCGAAAATCTGTTGCTGTTCATGGCCCTGCCATGATTAAACCTTCCTTTCTGCAGCACATCGTACCCTTCTCCACAGAGAAGACACTCAAATTTGGGTAGAGGAGGGGTTGACTGGATTGCAGGGTGGCCAGAGACACGGATCCTAAACGTTTGCCTAAAGCTATCTGTAACTACAGTCGAACAAGAACAACCACAAACCCCCTCCTCCTTCTCATGAATCCAGAGGCAGTGGCGAATGCATGGCATGTGCTGCTCACCTACCTGTGGAGGAGATCAGGAAATGGCAGAGCAGAACTGTGAGATTCAGAGCTGTTAAAGAGGGTGGACCTGATTCAGTGTTCTGAGTCTGCCAGAATTGCTGGTGACTGCACTGGAGCAGCAGTAACCTGTGCAGAGAGGTCTGGGAAGCAGGCAGCTGGGGGAAGCGTGGGGTAAGTGCACTTGGACTTCCCTTGGAATATTGCTGAGACTGCCAGGCATAGCATGTTGTTTTCACTTGTTTTTTCCAATGTGTTTGAAAAGGTGAACTGACCCAAAATGCTCAGAGCACTAAGAAAAGGGGCACTTTTAATCCTCACATCGGTTTGAACCAATCTCACAACTTTGTGAGCTTCAACTCTGTGGTTTGGATGGGGCAGAGAGAGGAAATGGTTAGATGCTAAAGCTGGAAGTGAACCAAAATTTAAAACATTCTGTGACATACTCCAGTATTAGTGTGCTGCCTTTGTCTCTCAAGCTACTTTAGTTTACTGGTGGAGAAGGTTGAAAGGTGATTCATTCATAGTTTACACGTACCTAAAAAGGGAAGAGGTTTCTGGTTGCTAGATGGGATTCAAATTTACCAGAGAAAGATCCATTGGCAGTAAGCCAAAGTTGAAGCAGTTCAGGTTAGGAGGAAGGGCTGCAGTTTAAACAATAGGAACAAAAAGCAGGGGAAGCTCTTGGGCTGGCTTTCAGCAGGCTCATCATCAGTTAATGGCTGTAAATGAGGATTTCTGTTTCTCTGTGGGCCTACCTGTTGGGGAATGTCGTGCAAGTTATTACCAGTGGCCAAGAGTAGAAGATGCAAGAGAGCCATGCGTTGGTTTGGAGGAGACGTATTGCACACAGGTGGGAAGGAACTGAGAAGTAGAGATCTTGGAAAGTTCCTTGCTCTTCCTTAGCCTCATCCTTCAGTGGTTTCTGGGTTTTGGGGCTTTGCACTTCTCTCGCCAGCATTTTCTCTGGAGAGGGTCAGGGTTGGCCCATCTCTCCCAGATGCTGCCTGCTTCACAACACTGCAGACCGCCAGCCTGGAACTACTGGAACTAATGCGAAGCAGATGCACCAGTGCCAAGGTCGGGACCTTACCAGTATTTAAAGCACGTGTATGGAGCTGGCATGGAGCACGGTGACCTCAGTGTACAATAGCAGCCAACCGACACACACATTCAGACAGAATAAATATTTGACAGCCTATTTCTCTATTCCCCAAAATGACCCCTATAAAAGCCTGTTTACCTTCCTGATTCTCTGTGCATAGTGTTCTGAGAAGAGACAAGCTCTCCTCTCCTCCATTCATTGCCTTCCTGTTCTTTTGGATGAACCTGTTTCCAGGCAAGGATCAGGGATATTGGCTTGGCAAAACCCACGGCACCTTGGAGTTTCACAGAAGTTCTGAAATGTGGGGAAAGCTGAGATCTGTTTTATTCAGAAGTCTCTTTCTCTGTGCCAAAGCACAGTGGCCTGGGAAGCGGTGCAAGACCGGTGCTCGGCCTAAAGCAAATGCTTGTAGCTGTTTACTGCTGTTTCTGCCCCATTAACACATGCAGCCCTCCCCATCCTTCTTCCTCTGGCACAGATTTCTAGGGAGACTGTAGCAGGTTTGGGTGTGCAGAAATAACAAGAGAGAAAACTATGTGGTGTGGCTCATTCATTTGCCCTCGGTGTGCTAAACATGCCTCCTTTGCATCCCTTGTATAGTGAGAGGAGACACAGAGATTACAAAATAATCATCTCTCTAATGAAACCCATCACATTCCTCCTCCTTTTGTTGTCCCATATCCAAAATCAGGATGCAGTAAGGCAGCTAAAAGAAAACTCACGAGCATAAGTCAGAGGAAAAACTTGATCTTAGACAAGAGGAAACCATTGTTGGCAATGATCTTAAGGCAAAACCAGGAACTTGGTGTTTACTTTTTTAAGGTTAGATTGAAAAATGAAAAAGCAGAAAGAAGAATTGCAAGCCTTCTAATGCACGCATGTCAGGTATAATATAAAGTCTGGCAGAAACTGATAAAGAGAACTCTCTGTCTCTCTCTCTCTCTCGATCTCTCTCCTGCCTGATGTTCCAGGTATGTGGTAAAATCCCCTTTCTTAAACATTCAGGAAAACTCACATGCAGAGCCCACCTTCAGTCCAACCAACCTGAAACTACAAGTCCTAAAGCTTTTTCAAGGGCTTTTATTCTTTCACCTTTCTATCTGTGGTCCGGGGAAGTGCTGTCCCTCCCTTCTTGTCCTTTACATGTGTAGGTTTTCATGCTGCCCTTCCTTGTGGCTGTTGCTTTTGCTGGTGATGCTGTCAAGCTGAATGGCTGTCTGTCTTGGCAGCTTTCCCTGGGGATGGTTCAGTAGGATGGGCAGCGTGCTTTGCAGTGGCAGTGATCACAGAGGTGTCGGTAATTGTTGTCAGCAAGGGCAGGATGCGGGGAAAAACTGTCTCTGAAGAGCTTGAGCTTCTGCATCTGCATCTGGACAGTCCTGGTGGGGAGAGCAAGGAAGCATATGGGGCTGCTGGGCAGTGTATGGGCAGCTGCAGTGCCATCAAGTCTGGCCATGTGGAGCTGAGCGAGGAGGGAGCTGTGTGCTGGGCACCTCGAGCCAGCCAGCGTTTGTGACCCCCCGTGAAAGCTGGGAGCAGTGAAACCGTCGTGCGGCGGTGGGGACAGCACACACGTTTCAGATGGATTCTGGGGGGGCTGGCATCACACGTGTGCCTCTGACAAAGATGAGTTTCACATTGTCTGGTTTCTCTTTTTGTAGCTGTCCCTCCCAAACTGAAGAAACTGAAAAGCCCAAACGTGCATGTTGGTGAAAAGATCTCACTGAAATGTGAGGCGACTGCTGGCAACCCTCAGCCATCCTACAAGTGGTTTAAAGATGGCAAAGAGCTGAAGAAGAGCAAAGACATCCGGATCAAGTATGGGAATGGGAAGTAAGTATGCTATGGGGCTGCCCTGCCCTCTAACTAACGCTGAGTTTGGGTCTTGGGGAGCAGCCCTGCAAACTTCCCAGCTTGCTCTGTGTGATGCTGAGCTCCCAGGCAAATGCAAAACAGGCATTTGTCAGATGGGGAGCCGGGTCAGATGGGCAGACATGGCAGGGCTGGGAGGTTTGATGGATCATCAGGACCGAAACTGAGAGAGATGGTTGTATTGGGAAACCAGTGCCTATTCAGGCAGCTCTGTGGCTAGGCCCTATTGCAGGTTGTGACTGAAGTGGCCATTCACCTTTTATGTCAAGCCAAGGATCTGCATGCGTTATTTTTCTTGGTATAGTTTCTTCTGGGGTAATGCTGCAAAATCCAACAGGTAACTGAGGGGTGGGAAACAGCTGCAGGGACAGGAACCACAGTGGGGATGGGTTGGGGTTGGACTAGATGATCTCAGACTCTGCCTTTTCCAATCTTAATGATTCTGTGATTCTGTGAACCAGGGATAAGGGGCTCCCACTGCACTTTCGTTTAAATCAATCCGTGTTGTTATTTTTTTCAAGGCCAAATATTTACATATATATATGATATATCCTAAAGTTATTCTGTAATTGTGACTGTGCTTACATTCATATATCCTGACCTAGCCAGCAACAAAGTCGGCTTGCAACTGCCTGATCCCTTGGAAATGTTAAAACTAATTTTATGCCAACGTATGTTATGCCTCAGTGTGTGAAAAATAGCTCATCTATTCTCATCATGCAGTTGACAGAGTATTTGCTTTTATAATTAGAAATTCTTCAACTGCTCAAATGGGTCATTGTCAATTGCTCTCATTTCGCTGAAATCCTGTTAGCTTTGATTTTAAAGGCACGTCCCAAATGTCCAGTGTAGAGCGGTGACAGGACGGCATCCCACCCACAGCAGCTCCCACGCAGCCCCTGGGTCGGGGACACCAGTGGGGAAGAACAGCCCTAAAACACGGTTGTCAAGTCATAACTTGGCATTTCCTAGTTTCCATGGCAGCGCGTTGGCTCACAGCCTGCCAGTGAGAGGCCAAAGCCATGTGCGTGTTAGAAGTGCTTCCTGCTGGCATAATAAGCCCGAGGACAAACATCTTAGAGAAAGCTGAGCACCTGGCTCTGCCAGCACCTGAGTCTCTCTTGGCGGCAAAGGTCTGAGCCCTGAGGTGTCCCTGCTCATCTGCTTCCCATCCCAGCCCAGGAGCTGGGCAGCATAGAGGCCAGACCCCAGCAGCCATTGGGCTGAGGCTGCTCTGATGGGGTGATCCTTGTCCTTGTGCAGCAGGCAGCAGTGGGTTTGCTAGCTCTCAGTACCTGAAAATAGAGAGAAGGATGATAATGGTGTTGGACCTTCCTCCTTCTGGACCTGGCTGCATGCAGAAGAGTACGTTAAAAACTGCTGTGTGCTGATGCAGTTTGAGGATCAAAGAGTGCTTGGGAATCTGTGTTTCTTCATTAAATAGCAAATGGGGATGAGCAGCAGAGGGAAGCAAAGCTGGGCATGGGAGATGAGTGCACATCATTACTGCCAGCATGTTAGGAGAAGCATCCCAAACTGTGAAGCTGAGAAAAGAAGACTTACTAGATGGTGATTAATGCACAAAAATTGGGGCTTGCACCTGGCTCCAATTAGAGGTAAGATTGGTCTCAAGGTAATCCTTTGCTCTTTCTTACAGTTAAGAGTAGAGTGAGGCTTCCAAAGGCCTAAACCTGAACGCTGGGAAGGGACTTTCATGGGAAAAGCACAAAAGACAAAAATCTTCACAGACCATGTGACACCTGCCCAGGTGCATGTGATCATTTATTTAAAAATTTGATCCAAAGCCCTAATTGACTTGTCTGCTGCAGCCAGGCAAAAGAAGCCGTGCCCTGGAGGAGGAGGTGTTGTCCATAGCATGTCCCTTGGCCATGTGAATCCTGTGCAGAAGTGGGCACAGCTTTGGATTTGATTCTGTACCTGCAGCTCTGTGGTTCTTAGATGACATGTGAAGGATTAGGATAGGAGACAAGAACATAACAGCATGAAGTGGCTCATGCCCTTACCACTGTTTGCCTCACTTTCCTTCCTGCAGAATGGAGCTTCCCTGTGTGTGTAAAGAGCCTCAGCATCTCTAGCTAGAAAGATGAACTGAAGCCCTGCTAGATGTGATCGAGTTTTTATCCGATTCTACCGCCCTTCCTAGAGTTGAAGAGTAAGGGAAATATGAGTTATAAGGACAAGAGGAGCAGTTAACTGCATGTCACTCTTCAGCTTTTCCATCAATCCTCTTTCCTCTTGTTTTTCAAACTCAGTTTGACAAACTTTCTGGTGCCATCTAAAAAGGGAGGTTTTTGTTTTTGTTTTTTTTTTCTTCTTTTTTTTCCAATGGGTATTTGCTGGAGGGAGGGGAACAATTCTGATTCCTCCTTTCTGAACTGTGTGTTCCATCTGTAATTAGTAACAGGCTGGGGCAAGCCCGGCTTGCACAGAGAGGAAATTTCTCGTTAAGGTGGAAGAAATTATTGGCTGGAGTTTTATCTCCTGCTCAATTTAAATAAAGCACAGTTGATAGGGACCTTGAGAAATTACCCAGAAAGAACTGCGTTCCATAGTGAAAGTAAAGCTTAGTGACTGGCCCACCCCTTCCGAGCTGCCAAAGGGCCAGCATCTCCTGTGAGTGCACCTGAGAGGGATCGAGGTGCCAAGAAGTGAAGGTTGAGTTTTGACTCTCGAACTGTCCTGGCACATGGTCAGACGACAGCTCTGGAGGGAGGCGGGGGACTTTCTTTGTGCTGACTTGCAGGGACACTACCCAACTTCGGGGTGCATCGGGGCTCTACCCCGAAACATGCACATTGTGGGCTGAAATCAGAGGGATGTGGTCTGAGAGCCTGGCAGCCTGCTTGCTGTCCTTACAGCCTCTTCTCTTTGTGTGCTCTCTTACCAAGAGAGATCACTGGGTGATAGAGTAGGCGTATCATTAGATTGGAGTGGGCTGGCAGTTCAGTTTGGGACAGGCTGACCATATGACATCCCTTGGGAGTAGTGTCCTACTTTCAGTATCACCAGGAATCCCTATTGTTAGCCTGTAAGTGGAGCCAAGGGATACCCTGCTCTCCTGTTTCTGTACAGTAGACCCCGAGGCGATGCTAGCTGGGGCAGATTCATTGCTGGGGTCTTCCTTGTAGAGCTCCCTGCTGTAGATTATTCCCCACCCACAATGAATGGGGCTGTGGTCTTCCCTGCGCAGCTCACTGCTCTGGAATGAAGGCAAAAAATAATAATAATGCCAAAGCAGCAGGGGAAAGAGAGTGCCAATAAAGATAAATGATTTCCTAATTAAGCCTGGAGACAAGGAGGGGCAAAGAGAACTGTTGAAGCCTTGTGGGAGCCAGAATGAACCCAAGCAGGCTATACCACCACTCTGGCAGGGGTCTTCAGCCTGACATTTTTAAACAAAGGAAAAAGCTCACTTGACAATGGATCTTGCAAGAACAATTCCAGATGCCTTAAAGCTAAGACTCTTCTTGATCACCGGTGTTGTTATAATCACCAGGGGAGCTTCTCTCTTGCTAACTCTCACGATGTCATTATAAGTCCCCAATACTTGGGATTTGGTTTAGCTGCTGATGGCACTTTATTGGAGGGTGTGTGAAAGAGAGTATCTCCTTTGTTTGCCTGTTTTTTGTTTTAAAGGAGATGATGGACATCATTTTGGCCAACGCACCTGGGACTCAACCAGGGAACTTGAGAACTGAAAGGAGAAGCAGTTGGGCCTTGAGCTAGAACAATACACAAAGCCTGCAAGTTGGGGCTCATGAGAGATTCAGGGAATGGGCATTCAATCAAGCACGAGTGAGTTATAGTGACTAACAAGTTATGGCCAGATGCTGAGCGGCTTCAATTGATGATGTATGCAAACACAGGCATGGAAGGAAGCTTACGTGACTGAAATTTTGTCTCTTCTTTTCCAGTGATGTTGGCTGGTTAAAAAAGAAAAATATCTCCCTATCTAATCTTAGTCCCTTGCAACTGCACAGTGACACGACTTAGGCTGGAACACTCTCACTGAAACATCAATTGAAATCCCATTCACCCAGCTTAATGCTTTACCTGGCATCTGGGGAAGAAGAGCTGGGGTGGTGGCAGTGGATGCCGGCAGTTCATCTGGGGTAGCACATTGTATGCCCACAGTCGTGAATTTGTTTGGTTCTCCTTATATGTCGTGGATCAGGCACTGGCAAGGATCCGTGGCACACGCTAACTGCAGGAAAAAAAAGACTTAAGAAGAAATGAATGATGATCCAAGTGCTCCAGACTCAGAAGGGAGCCTCAAAACTGTAACTGAATCTCTTGTACAACCCTGTGTAATATAATAATGATACATTTCACAGAGGTTTTGAAGGAGTCTGTCCATCCAAAGCTGCTGTTCCATGCTGCTTTTCCATGTCCTTATGTCTGTTCCTGAGAGGCATGCATTTCTCTTATCTAAGTACTTCCAGCCTAGCTTTGCTCGTCTCCATTCCTGTGCTCAGAGAAGGGCTTCCAACAAAGACTGCTGCTTTTAATATGGTACCTCTCCTCCTACCTCCCCTGATTTAAAACTGTCTGGTTTTGCTTTAAAGGCTCTATCTGGCCTTTCTCCCATGTCTGGCAATCCCTGACGTTTTAGTCCCACCTCTGAATTGCCCATCCTATCAGCTTCCATCTAACATGTGATACACTTCCAAATGAGGACCTCTGTGCTTTCCCCCCAGAAGCACCAACCCTTTCTTCTGCTCCCAGCTACAGAAATAGCTGTAGTTCTGTTGCTGATGTAGTGAGGCCTCTGCATACTGTCCTAACTGCATCCCTACCTGAGGTTTACTATCTATTTAGATATTTGCTTTTTAAAGAGGGAGGTTCTATGTTTGTGAGGTCCCTGCTCCTGGGAGGCTGCTGGCACGCATGTGAGATGTCATAGCAAAGAGGGAAAGAGCTGAGCTGCTCCATGATCTACA